GGACTCCAGGATCATGACCTGAGCCGAAGGCAGTCGCTTAACCAACTGAGCCACCCAGGCGCCCTCTATTACATAAATTTAAAATAATGAAAACACAACAGTTTTTTCCATGCAGTGGATCAAGTAGTATATTTTAAAACTGAAAAAATCACAACATTCTTTACTAAATTAATAACGTGCCATTTAAGCAACCATGATGTGAGAATGATCTTGCAAAGAGCTTTTCTTTCATAGAAGCTCTGCAAATCAGGTATTATTACAACCAGCTTATAGTTGAGAAATCTGAGAATCAATTAACCATACACTCAATGTTACCCAGTCAGAAAGCTGCTGAGGTGTATGTAACACAGGGTGTATTACATAGATGTGTGAGTGCAGGCCTATTTGTCTTCAAAGCCTAAACTCCCAATGAGTGTACTTCTGAACATATACCTTACAATTTAGTTGTTAGTGAGGCCCTTATTACTAACATTACCAGAGTCTAGCCTAGAACCCTGCTGTGCACTACGGAAAGTAGGCAAATGAAGTATTCTATTTAAATGTTTTATCTTGGGGCGCCTGGGTGGCTCAGCTGGTTAAGTGTCTGGCTCTTGATTTCAGCTCAGGTCATGATCTCAGGGTCGAGAGATCAAGCCCTGCATCAGGCTCTGTGCTCTGTGCAAAGTCTGTCTGTCTCTCTCCCTGTGCTCCTCTCTGGGAGGGGAGAAATAAACAAACAAACAAACAAACAAACAAATAAATAAATCCTCTTAAAAATAAATAAATAAATGTTTTATCTTTGAGCTCCTTTAGACTAAGCCCCCCCCCTTTTTTAAAGATTTTATTTATTTATTTGACAGAGAGAGACATGGTGAGAGAGGGAACACAAGCAGGGGGAGTGGGAGAGGGAGAAGCAGACTCCCCGCGGAGCAGGGAGCCCCATGAGGGGCTCGATCTCAGGACCCTGGGATCATGACCTGAGCCGAAGGCAGACGCTTAACGACTGAGCCACCCAAGTGCCTCTAAGCCCCCTTTTTTGAGCAAGGACACTTCCCTTAAGGCCCCTACCTCTTGCTCCTTCATTTCATATTTACTTAGGTAATATTTACCCCAATCCCACCACATACAGTCACAGGGGATACAGCACTGAACAAAACAGAAAAATCCTGAAGTACATGGATGTTATAATCATTTGAGGGAGGGCAGTAAATGAACAAAATGTATCAGGTGTGGTATATGATACACAATAATGCAGCACATTACAGGGATAAAGAGGCACATACACATTTATTTTTAGCCAGTTAGGACTACTTTTGTAGCCGGGAAGAAGCAGAAAATTAAAAGAAGTGTTTCAGATAACACTGGAAATCCACAGTTGGTGTGGTACATATATTTACATATTTATATGAATATCATCAACTCCCAGAGAAAATAAAATCAGTATGAGTGGGCTAACCATTAACTTAAAGGATAGAAAAGGAACAGCATAAAGGTTTAGAAAAATGAAAATAGGACAAAATTAATATTTTTAAAAAACTAATAAAAAGAATCATAAAAATGAACAATGTGTCCTTTGAAAACTAATGAAATCAACAAAGCTTTAGCAATTTTAACAGAGCATAGACAAAGAGTTATGAATGAGTCATAATCACAGATGTTGAAGGGAGAATACAACAAAAAAGTTAAGAGAATATACATGAAAATGTACATATAATGAATGAATTTCTAGAAAGAAGTACAACTTTCTGGCAATGATCTAAAATAAATACAAAACTTGATTACATCCAATCCTAAAAGAAAAAAAAAAAAAAACAGTAGTTTAAAACATGCCCACAAAGGAAATATGAATTACAAATTGTTTCACAGGCAACTTCACCAAATAAGTAAAGGATTCATAATTCCATTGTAGGGATGGAAAATACTGTTTTCCTGAGTGTTTCCAAGCCAAAAAAGTACAACTCAAAACAAAACAGGAAAGATCTCATTCACACATATGAATGCAAAATAATATAAAAGTTTTAGTACAGTCGAGAATTGAATAATGAGGGTATAATCACTAACCAAGTTCATTTCCTCCTAGGAATGAAAGGTGGTTAAAAATGAAATCCTCAATTAATATAATCATCACATTAATATTAAAAGATCATATGGCTCTTCCTCTTAAATACAAAATAGTTAACGATCTATATCAATATCCACTGCTGATCATTTAACCCATTAGAACTAGAGAATAACTTTAATTAGGAAAAAATAATTATCATCTACAACACCTACAGCAAACATCTTTTTTTTTTTTTTAAAGGAAGCTCAGTGCCCAGTGTGGAGCCTAGCAGAGCTTGAATTCACGACCCTGTGATCAAGACCTGAGCTGAGACCAAGACATTATGACTGGGGTCACCTGGGTAGCTCAGTCGGTTAAGCGCGGTACTCTTGATTTTGGTTCAGGTCTTTTTTTTTTTTTTTAAGATTTTATTTTATTTTATTTGAGAGAGAGTGAGCGAGAAAGAGAGCACAAGCCAGGGGGAGAGGCAGAGGGAGAAGCAGACTCTCTGCTG